GTATTTTGTATGAAAAAAAAAAAAAAAAAAACAAGTGTCTTCTTGGGGTTCCTCAGGTTGAGGTGGGGAATGAGAGCAAATCATTCTGGAGGAACGCAAGGGAAAATGGCTTTAGATACTTGGGTGACGATAGAATTTATTCTCATAATTGTTTTAATAGCTTTTGTATAATCTTCATCGCTATTATGAGATATAAAATGTATTTATCAAATCTGTAATCATTATGCCAAAAAATCTGAATTACTGTAACATTTTGTATATTTGTTAAAACTGTAACTTTAATTGTAAAAAAAAAATTTAAAATAAAAAAAATCTATAATGAAATGAAAAACAAAAGAATTATTTTGAACAGTTCTTTTTTTCATTGGAAAAATTTCCAGTCTTGTTATTTTATTAATATTATGATCCCAAAGTTCCGTAAGTAAAGACTTATGAGGAAAACACAGCGGGTGTTAGGGAATTTCAGGCTATGACCATTCAAAAACTAGTAAATATATCTGTTATGGACACTACCGAGTCTTTAAGACCTGGGTCAGTGCAGACATGTGTCCCAACATGGATAGGAATTGAGAAGGACAAGAGAGCCAAGGGCTCCTCCCAAGCCCATGTGACCCGAGGAACAGATCCTCATACGACCTTAAGAGTAAAAATAAATTGGTTTATTTGGGCCAACTATGTGGCCTTAAACACCCAAAAGGAAAGTATAACCAAAGATTAAAGGGGCCAATATAATTTTTTAAGAGATCATACGTATAGCTAAAGGCTACATAACAAGCAACAATGCCAGATAGGAGATACCTTCTTTTGAGTAGTTGGCCAGGATGGCCAAAGGGACTCCCAGAGAGTAACCCAGCATAGAACTGGGAAAATGAACAGCAGTCCCCAATCTTATCTAAAGGAATATTGACAACTGATTGCTGCTAGATGAAGAACAGCTGTCCTTCCTAAAACCTAAAGACCTCTAGATGGGCTGACTAGATTCACCAGAAGGGAAAGTAGTGGGGAATGGCTGGGGTTGCTGACAACACAGCAGACAGTAGCAGGGATATCAGAGTATAAGGGCTCTAGTGGGGGAGGCTATGGGAGGGGGCCAACTGGGAAGTGGGTGTATAGTCAAATAAGATGGTTTGGGATGTTCTGTATGA